CGCAGTCCTGTCGATCGCCAACACACTGCTCTAACCTTTCCAGTGAATCTACGCTCCAGGTCCGGGTTGTGCGCTGGAACGTTCTCGAAAGGGGAGAGCAAGATCACTTGCTCCCAGAATACGGATTTTTTTTATTGTTCTTTCCAGAACTGATTGTAAAATCATTACAATGTAACTTTTACAGGTTGTAGCGTTTGTGACCGGTCGTTCCAGTTTAAAAGAGATGACACCATTTGAAAATGCTATATCTGGTTCGTTAGCATCCGTTTTTGCTGCATCCGTTCTCTGCCCAACGGAGCTTGTTAAATGTAAATTACAAGCACAACGAGAAATGTTTCCTGGAGTGAAAAGGTTGCTGGAAATTTTTTTGTTTTCAAGTGTTTTATATTTGCTAATTATCGCGTAATTTTTGCATGAATTTGCTTATCACGGGCTTAGTTTCTCTAGCATTTGGGACTGGTGTGAGCAGGTTGTGGCAATAGGAGTTATTAAAATTACTTTTCAGTCTTACAGTTGAGTTCGAAATTTGAGAAATTTCAAAAATTATTGCCGTGATGTTTGTGATGAACTGAATCTCAGAGCGAATTCCACTTTTTCTTTTGTCTTTATGAGAGATGGAGGTATTGGGAGATCTTTTCGAATCCCTGTCATACATCAACATCAGTTTATCGTCGAAAGAATGAACGAATCGCAAAAAGACTTTTTTTTTCTCCACTGCTGGAGTCAAATCCTCTACCTTTTCCATTTTAGAAGCATCACTTGCTATTTCTTTGCTTCCCAATTACCAGAATACTGTGAATAAAGGAAAATAAATAGCAACGCGCACCAGACTAACCGGTACGATCATGCTTTTAGTGCAATTCAGCCCATCGAATAATTGCCTGTTAATGATTTTCACTGCTTCGTACTTTAGTTTATGCAAAAATAGTTCAAACATTGGGAAATAGTTGAAAATTTCACGCATCAGCGCATGAAAGTTGAATTCGAAACCTTGAAGGGTGAATATCTATATTCCGAATTAATAGTTTATCCGCCAAAATTTTCACGAGGCCATAGTGGTACTCAGAAGCGCGGGAACGCTGAATTTGAGTGGCCAAGATTGAGCATGGGCAGAGAGTCATC